TTTACCCGCAATAATCTCGTGTTTTCTGGACTGTACTCAGGATGTAATACTTACTAATAGAGGACATGGTTCGCATGATGTCTCTCGTAACGTACAATTTTGCAGAGCCCGCGAAGGACGGAGTCTCTACATGGACGTAAGGCCTCCAGACCCAGTAACCCATAATATATGATTTGCAAGTCCTGAAACAGAGCGAGGAAATCAAATAATACAAATGACGCTCGAATTTGGGGAGGCTCATTGTCAGTCAGCGAGAATGAAATTTGTACGAAAGGATTGTTGCTCACATGTTTCCTAATCGGTACTATCACACGCGTTTTCCGCGACGACGATCGCAGTAATTTTAACAGAAAATTACAGCGAGCTAAAGTGATCGTCATGAACCCAATTTGCCTCGTTACTTCACTGTACGATCTATTTATTTATTGATAATGTAGGGTACGCAAAGGAAATCGGTAGATCAGCCGGTGGATCAGTAACAGCGGTAAATCAGTGTATAAAAGTGATCTACAAATTTCCGCGAATAAATAAACGAATGTATACCGTGCATTTACCATGCGCTATTTTCATCTGTTTCATGTTTTGCAGAAGTTCCCATATATATATATCTCTCTCTAACTTCCTCATCTAATGTACGTGTTTGCGTGTCTAATAATATATAATTTTTAATTAACACTTTACCTGCTAAATCGGTAAGCATTGAGCTTAATAAATCTAGTATATTATATTATTATTTTACTATTTTATTGTTTTTTTTTATGTTTTATACATTTAGTAAAATTGTTCTTATATTCGGATAAATAGAACCGTCACTCCCAAATGAATGACGGGACCCTTGTAAATTTTATGCACCGTCCAAATATGAGTGACATGGCAAAGTGTAAAAAATATCACATAAATACACATCCATCATTTATTATATGTATATCCAAATTAAGCAGATTATTTAACACTTTAATTAACGCTATTCACACTAGTTTGGCTTTAGTTAAGCTTTGTTATAGTTCAATAATATACAAATAATATTTACGTATAAATAAATAAAAGCCAAATAATAATCCAAAGTAGTTTTCTCCAAATTTTTGTTACATGTTTTAACATTTTCAAATTAAAAATTACAAGTACTAGACGGCAAAGTTTAATAGTTTAAACACGCGTTATATATCTTGTATACACATACTGATTGAGTCGCAATAACGTTCGTGTTGACACGTTACAACTTTGATCCGTATACTGAATTATCGCAAATCTAATTACCCTCGAGTCACCTCCGTTAGATACGCGAGTGGGGTCGTCGCACAATTTCACGCTGGATCGCTGATCAAACTTGCCTATCCATCCATCCATCCATCCATCCATCCATCCATCTATCCATCCCGGCGGGACGTACACCCGTTTTCAGCTCTCGAGCCAACTCTCGTCGGCGCCGTTTCGTCTAGATTGTTTGCGGATGCCGACCGCAATCAGCGTTATACCATGTGAAAACGTACGACGCATCTAACCGATCCAAACCAACTACCACCGCTGACGACTCAAAACGTGCGGGATACCAATTTCGATTAATTCCAAAAATGTCTCTCACCGTGATAATTACATTTTCTCTCGTGCGATTACGAACGAATTATGCGGCCTATGTTCGAAACACGTACAATGTACATTCCGTATATGTATTATATAGCGGCAGCAAAAGCGGTTTCCCGCAGTACATCTCATTTTTCATTTTTCATTTTTACATTCTTCCTGCAACACACTAGAATTCTCGCTACTAACTTCGCAAAAGCGTTTGTTCTAAAAATATTATATACTACACATGCTGTGAATATCCTTATTTTATATGCAAACAATTTTTATTTTGGGAAAAATAAAAATATAATCGACGCATTTGCTTTTGGATTAATACTGTAGAGACAAACAGAAATCATGTAAAAATAAGTTATTAATTCAAATTTTATTGTATAATAAATGCACATTTTACATTATAAATTTCTTGATTTTGGTTCTAGTAATTCATGTAATTAACGTTTTAAGTTAGCTTCAACTTGAGATCTACTATCTCAACCGTACAGAATCGTCGGGTATTACAACGCGAGAGAACTTGGGAGGATTTATAAAACTGGAATTAAGTGTCGCCAGATGTGGCGCATCGTAGCGCAACAAACTCTCGAGGGAGACCAAACGAGATTATAAATATGCGAACGTGTACGTCTAAGTACCTCGAAGACGCTGCGCTGGGTCTGAAAACATTTCGCACGCAAAAGGGAGCGAAAGGGGATTCTCGCTCGATTTTACCGCGCGCGCGCGCGTTCTCGGACTCTTTTCTTCCTTTTTCGCACGAAAAGTGGAGCGAACACCGGACGACCTTCACGAATGGATCGTACGATGCGCGGTTCGTGTTCCGTGAGATTTTTTTAAAGGAAATCCACTCGCGGACATTAATCTAAATTATTACTGCCCATCATGGACAATTAAGTTTTCGACTGTTACGGAGTTATGCATAATTTAAACACGCTATCATCATTATATTGGGTTGTCCGGAAAGTTCGTGCCGACTAACTTATATAATTTAATAAATTTATACTAAAATTTAAATTTTCTGTGTTTCAATTTTCCTTCAACGTCGGCACGAACTTTCCGGACAACCCAATACAATCAGAAATCGTTACCTCTGAAATTTTCATCGCAGTAACATCTAGAAAAAAGGATAGCGCATAAACTAACACGCACTACATCTTATCTATATATGTATATATGTATATATACTGCTGCTTTTTCTTTACATGAGGTATTTCCGAGACTACAAATTATCATCAAGTTCTCTTTGCGAGCATACAGAGATAAAGCGTGTTATTTGAATAACAATTGTTTTATCATGTCATAAAGCGAGGTTGGATATACATAGAGCTCTTTATTATATAGAATTATTTTAATAAATACAAAACTTGTATGAACATGCCGATACATTAAAAAAAAACTTTTATTATAAAATACAATATTCTTTCAGCCTTTTTCTTTCTTTTATGAGATTCTTTTCAAGATTCAGTTCAGCGATTAAATATTTGTTGTTTTTAGATGAAGATTCAGCTTCATAATAACATTTCTTGCGATAAATGCGAAAAAGTTATATATATATATGCCAAATACTTCGTCGGTAGAGAACAACACTAGCAAAGAATCTTCTCGGATCATCAACGATGACGTAATATGTTGTCGAAACTCGCTAAGAAAGTATTCACTCATATCGTGCATGTCATGACGATGATTAGTGTATAAACAACAAATTATTGATTTCCGCTAAAACGAGTTTTATAAAAGGAAGATTGAGAATTTCTATCCAATATTTCAGATAACATTTCTTTATATCAGCCAGAAATTAATACACACATAATGTGCTTTTAAAAATATCGTTCAAATTAGAAATATATGTATAATGTTTAGAATCAGAAGTACGCGTACATTATATATTATTAATCTATAAAAATATAAATTAATTCCATACGAAGAAATACGCTACATGCGGTTAAGAAATTTGCGTTTGTATCAGAAGATGTTCCCAGAGATCCGATCTCGTAATTAAGAGAGTTTTCTTTCTCTTTGTATTTTAGTCGCACGCGTATACTATCTGAGATGTTCACGACCTAGCAATGCAAAGAATATATTGCTGTTATACTTTCTAAGACTATTATCGGTCTAAACAATCTACAATGCTAAGTTTCTTGGAAACATTCTTCATATATCGTTGATACAACGTTTCTCCTCGGATTACTGATTTACAATATAAACGGATGTAAATATCATTAAACGTTGAATGTTTTTTCATTGACCATAGGAAATATCGGTCTATCTATTACTTTTGAAAAATAAAATGCCATAAATATGTATGTATTATAATTCAAATATCATAAATAATAAAGCTTTTTTGTTCTGACCGATTAAAAATTTCATGTATATGAAATGATAACATGAAATCCAATCGAACATTAGAATCATACTAGATACAGTTATTAGATATTATATATTATTATTTCGATATATAAATGCGATATTTTAATTAATAGAAAAAGAACGAAGAAAAATCAAGTAAAAGAGAAAGAAATTAAAGATCAATATTCATATACTCTGCTCTGTAACTCGATTAAATAATTCAAGAGACAAATACTTGATTAATTAAAACTCGGAGGAAGTAGAACTTGAACCGCGAAATACTTTTTAAACAAGTACGATTCGTACATTTTTCAGAAACTTTTAATCAACATTCACAGTACGAATGGAACAAAAAGAGATCTGTTAATTACTTGGAAACTGATATTTCATTATATTCATTCACTTACAAAAAAATGGAAGCGATTTTGTATTTTCAAAACTAAAAATATACATCACTCTAATATCATTTATGACAAGCCATTAATGAAGCATGACAATTAAAATACGTTCGTTTCATTTCATATTGTTAAAAAGTTCTCTCGAGATCTCATTGATATTTTATTGTATTCTTCTTTTTCAATAAATATGAAATAATTATCAGTCTACGAAAAATCTACACAAAGAACAATGTCTCGATTACATAAAAGTAACAGAAAGTTTCGAAAGTTCAGATAGCACTGCCTCAAGATACAAACGATGCCCTTTAACCTTTACGCTGGCGCTGCTGTACACGTTTACAGAGGATGTGTGTGTGTGTGTGTGTGTGTGTGTGTGTGTGTGTGTGTGTGTGTGTGTGATACAAATATTAAATGAATAGATTGTATGTTCATAAAATTGCTCACAAAATCGGTGGGGGTATCTCCATTTAATTCAATATTTTCAAAGAAACCTCAAGTATTAGAAAATAAGTATTTACCCACCTGGAGGGTCCGTCTTTCTGGATCACGGCAGAGAGCCCGAACAAAATGTGGATCCAAGTAGTCCGTCATAATAGCCCGACTAGACTATACCACGGTCCTTTTCTTAACAGCTCTCGCGTAGTTCCGTGTCCTGCTTAAATACTCGTTCCTGAACATCGCCACCACCCCCGATCGAAGGAGCGATCTTCAATTTTCAATGACGTACGCACGACACCGTGTCAACTATTTGTAAGACGAGCCGTTCTATCATCTTATCAGTCTTCATGAGATGCGTTGCATCCTTCTTTCATGAAGATAATTTCGATCTTTCCAGATATTACCAATTGTATATGCATCACGCGCGATACGTAAACTTTAGAGTAACGGAGAACATACAATATCTCCGTACAACAATATCTTGGCAATTCTTCAGCATTTCTATAACAGCTACAATGCGTCCTTCTCGATTTCGTCGATCGTATATACGGGATTCTGCAACAGAAGACAGATAGAAAATGTAAGTAAGAAAAATAAATCATATATAATTTGGCATGCCACTTTAACTATTTTATTTTACGCTAAACAATCAACATCACAATTTTCTTCTTCTTTTATTCAATTTTCTTTTTTTTTTGTGCAAATCTCAAATATATCATAGATACTTTCTTAAGGAAATCACTCACGAGTTTTTTTCTTTTTCGTACGGATTTAAATTTCTTGATGACGATGTAAAATGCACCGTTATGAATCACGAAACACGCAAGTAGAATTATAAACGTTGCGATCGGAAGTCGCTCGTTAAAGTGCACCTGCAGATGTAACATGTATCGACTAAACTGGAAACGTCAACATGTTGACCTTTAACTCCTTCAAAGCTAGAAAGATCAGTGGAAATTACATCTACTTGCGCGGCACTTGGAGCATCGTTGACATGAATTAATAATCTTAGCTCATGTCAGTAAATCGTGGTGTAAGCACACACATACATGTAAATGTACATTACATTAAAGATAGGATTAAAAATATTAAAATAAAATAATAAATAATAATAAACTATATAGATCATTTCGATATCAGATCAAACCATGTGTAATCAATTTATGAATTTGAATATACGTGTATAAAAATATATATTTTATATTACGTAAAATACAATACAATACATGTTACAATAAAATAACCTAAATAAAAGATCTAAATATAATTAAACAGTGTTGATAAAAAAAAATTATATATGATAAAAAATACAATAAATAAATAAAATTAATAAATGACTATTTGGATCACACAACACAATAAATGAACAAAAGAGTGTACATGTTATGTGAGGATTGCTCGTTGAAGAGGAAAGAGATTAGATTCAATCGACCCCAAAAATAATTTTATGTAAAATACAAAGAATAAGAGAATTACGCGATGTTCAATTTCTGGAGCCATCTTTCGGCCTTGAATAAATAACGTCACGCGAGGCATGTATTTTAACTACCTTGAGAGCGATAAGTCGAGGTCATGCAAGTACCTCGGCGCTACGTTCAACATCCATGAACGACAACGCATTTTAGAGGTTCTTGATCCTTAAGGAACGGGACTAGGTCTCGCTTCGATTGGATCGTAGCACTTAAGAATTTATTTGATTATCATGACAAGGATATTTAATTTAAAGTGTTTATGTAACCGGTATGTAACATCATTCGCAATTCTCACACACATAATAATCATATTAATGTGAAATTATGCCTTATAAATATTAATGTAAAAACCTCTAGCTTTTTACATAAATAGATTTGCGCCGGTTTGTCCACTGCTATGGCAGAAGATAATTTCAAATGTGCAAACTAACGACATTTTTTTAAATAATCAAGAACAAGTGAAACATTTCGTTCGTTGATTGAAAGGAGACAAAAATAACTTGTCGGATATGGACAAGACAGATCGATCACGACCTCGAATCTATCCAATCGTATATATCAGTCTGATGTTTCGTGTATTTCCTCTATCCACCTACAATCTCAACTAAAAAAAGAACTTTATAACTCGTGCTGTCGAAATGATTCTACCGATACTCATGTATAATTTCTCTGTTCATCAATCGATTCTGCTATTCGAGAATATTCTCTTCGCATTAACCTATTATCCATCCGAATAGTTCAAGGTTTGGAGATATTTTATTTTATACCAAGATAAAAACAGAGAAATATATAAAGAGTTATTAAGATTTACAGTGTATCCTGTTTGTTTTGGAGATGGCAAACAAGTGATTGAATATAATTTTTCGTTTTAACACAATATATAGCTTTATCAGATACATTACAATCACTTCTAAAGAAAATCTCCGAATCATCTTATGCATTCAACAGAATTTCCTTCTTCTAAACGAATTATCATTTGAATTAATGCGTATGCCAAAATTTGTTTACAAGCTTCCGTGTTGCAACAAACTTTCACACGCGATCATTCAAGAGAGAGAGAGAGAGAGAGAGAGCACTCTATTAGGAATAAAAGTCATACACGAACGAAGGAACATCTCGAAGGAGCTGGCAAGACGGGATAGAGTACGAAGAAGATTGGAACTTCGTCGGCCTTGCGGATCGTTTCTATTTAGCTTCGTACTACTTGTTTTTTCCTCTTCATCGTCATCGTCGTCGTATTCTTCTTCTTCTTCTTCTTTTCCTGCTCGAGGCCCGACAGAGCCTTTTTCTTTCTCCCCTTCATGAAAGAAACTCGCTGAGTCCGCAACTCGTTCACGACTCATCTATGCACCACGAAGCGAAACGCCGTTAAACAAAAGCATGAAGGTGCAGGCTCGTATATCAATTTACTAATCGCGCTCGATCATCGACCATCAAGTCAACTCATAACGATCTGCAATTGACGATAGGGGATGGACGGGTTAATACCGGGTTCAACAACAGTGGATCCGTAATGAGTTATTATCAATGCTCATGAACGTGATTTCGCATGTAGGTCGATTGTCGTTGAGTTGAAATGTTATGAACAACTCTTATCAACGACGTGTAAAAATCTACGAGCTGATAGTAACATGGGCGTGGCGCGGATGGAAATCCAGATGCCGTGATGCAATATTGTGGAGCGATGTGTTCGATCTGTCGGTATGAACAGGTATGATTATTCATTATAAGTGATTTCATTACGTAGAATGACTGAACCACATATATATATATATATATCAAATAACATATAGAATTAGCAGAAAAATACTGCGTGTTAAATCAACTATATGGTACAATTACGACGCTATAACATTATAAACGTTGATTTTTTTTTTTTTTCATAATATCTATACTACGATATGATTGCTCGATCTTTATTAGAGTATTCAATTTACAGAAGATAATTTCAATCGATGAGAAAAGGATAATCCAAGCTGTTATTAAAGATTGCATCATAGCCTGTTTACAGCGCCATGCTTTCCTAGACAACACGTTGGTCCAAGAGTCAAATCTGTCTTTGGCCGCATATGTAAACGGCTCATCGATAAAAATATCCTCGGTATATGGGGCAGTTCGTAAAGCTGCCTTCCTATATAAAATGAGACTTACAGAGTAAATACTTTTAATTCTAATATCTGATGTTCGGCTTACACAATTACATTTGTATTACGATTAGATTACACAATGTATTATATTAACAGTATTTAACTTTTATTTCACTAGACAGAAGGAACAGAAGGAACAGAAGGAATATAGGATTTTAAAATTATCATAACATTAAATGTTATACGTGAAAATATCATTTGAATATATAGAAATAGCAAATAGTAATAGAAATAAATTAATATTTTAAAAAGTATACAAATATTCTTTACATGTAATAACATTTCTCCTCTCTCTTTAAATCATCCGTATTAAATTTTTTTTTTTAATTTAATTAGGACTTATAACATATAAAAAATTATTTAATTTTCAATATTAAATGTATCAAGTATTAGCTTCATTTGTCATATTATCATTTTTGTATGAAAATAAAACTACCGAGGATACAAAAATCTCGACGAAAATATAACAGTTAATACCATGCACTTAAAGTTAAAGTTCGAATTGATAAATCAACTGTATAATTATCGAGCTAATAATTTCTCTGCCGATAAGTCTTTCTTATTTCTTCATCGTTTAGCATAGATAAAAATAATACTGTCTTATTTTTTAGTGTAAGACTTGTATTACCGCCAAGCGAGAATCGCTTACGTGTCGCGTGTTAAACGTACGGTGAAAATATCGTGGCAAACTCCAAGACAGCTTGAAAAGTTACACGCCACGGTAAGATATTCGAGGTAAGATAATCCGAACCGCTGATCGTCGAGACAACCGTGCGGATTCACCGTAAATGTAAACGTAAACGTGCCGTGACCATCGTGAAACAAAATGCACGAGTGCTTGCAGATGGATGGATGCATTGCAGAAAAAATGGAACGAGAACTAGAATCGAGAATGAAGCACATGCTTATTCCATTGCTTAAAAAAACACATATGTACGCGCCAAGCGAGTAAATCGAGAAATTATTCGAAAGAAAATTGCAAGCACTTTTTAAGCTGTCTACGAAGAAAAGAAGTTTATCAATATCTACGAGAATTAGATTCAAGCGCGGAACTTCATCGATCTCGCAGATCGTTGACAGTTACGAGAGATCTATATTTCAATCGAATTACAAAACATGCGCGATTAGAATGGGATAAACAGCGTTCGTCGCCCGTTTGTCACTCGCGCTCGGATATTCAGCGAACGAGCCAGATTGTATTCCCCAGATATGCTGACGGCGATGTTTCGGACAGTGTACAATATCACAAAGGGCCGTCTGTTAAAAGCGCGACACGCTGCTGCAGAATGCCCTTCATCTCTTCGGCTTGTCCAACGTATGTTTCTCTCTTTGACAGCTTCATGCAACACGGCGCAAAAGAACATAAACGTCCGAATAATGGTGGATCAATGGTGATGTATTTGATGTCTCTATTCTTTCATGTCGTGAAACAATCGATTACAATTTATATCGCTGCTTCTCGCGTGACCTCCTTTTCTACATCGGATTTTTCTATAATTCGTATTACGTGTCATCGATCGCACGTGTTCATTCATTACTGTTACTCGCAAAAGACGCGTAGCAGTCAAAAAATTATCAATCTTATCAAGTCCTTCTAAGAAAATTCACTATACGTTCATCAGCTATGACTTCTCGAAAGATGCTTGGTAGTGTAGTATCAGATGTCTGTTATTGATCGTTGCCTTTTTCGCATACATATATTTTCCACTGCAGTCTCCTGTTAGAATAACTACATACGTTCGACGTATCGTACACATACATATATAATATATATAATATATTTAAAAACAATACACATTATAATATTTTTATTACGCAATAAGTAGATAACATAAATTTAAATTAAAAAATTTTAACACATTACATTAACCTTAATCGATATTCGCTGCGAAATTTCCTTAATTAATATTCGTAGGTCAGTGTACTTTAAAGTTTA